GGCATATGCATCAGTGCTGGTGCTAGAACTTCAAGGATACTATGTAAGCCAGTAAATTAACAAAGAGCAGATATCATTCATATGAATTAGTAGGTTGACTCTGACTGGTAAAAATGAACTGTAATGATATTTGAAATGAAAGTAACCTCTGCTGAATTTTTTTTTTCACATCTGATTAGCCTTTTACTGTGTTTAAATACCATCTTTAATCCAGAGGGTTGGTACATTTCTCCCTTGCGCTCGGCTGCTGGGCATGCACGTCTCTCTCTACCACAGGGTGACATCTTGTCAGCTGGAGGCCCGGCTCCACTGATCTGACAGCCTGTCCTCAGGGACGAGCAAAGAGACAAGCCCTGACAGTGGGATAGCAGGGTGCTGCTCTCCCAATTAAAGTCTCCCACTTCCTATTTTTCTGCTGTCTCCCTCCTTTCCTCACTTACTTAGACTGAGATGGACAATAAGGAAGGAGAGGAGAAGCTGTGGACATGCTGAGGAGGAAGATTTGTGTGTATTTATATGTTGAGAATATGCTGTGATTCCATGAGCTGCAACCTCAAAGCTTGTATCTCTGTTTGCCTCAGACAGATGTGTATTTGTTGAAATTGTATCATTCAGGAGGAGAGTGCAGGAGACATGGCAGGAGCTGAAAACACACTTGCATCTGTGTAAATGCAGAGTGTTCTTCGACTGTATGGGATGGGGGGAGGTAATCCGCCCTTGAGGCATGACTGGGGTGGTAATGGGTTCCTGGCCTTGCCTTGTGATGTTGACTTAGCTACGGAAAGCCATTCATCAACATCTGCTGTGGGTTGAAGATGTGAGGGGGCGATCTCGGCAGTGATGCTGAATCAGACACCATGAAATGGTTATTTACCAACACAAGTTTCGTGTGAAATCCACCTTTATCCACATTTTATTTAAGGTCCGACAGATATACCGTTGACAGAACATGTTTGGATGTTGTGAGGGGTTTTCACCTCTACTATTCAAACTTGTTGGGGAGTCTTTGTCACTTTGTCAATGCCATATGGATCTGGCTCCGTGAACTGAAACGTCAGAGCAGTAAGGATGTTTATAACTTGCTTTGACATACTTGGAGTGAAGAAGATGTCCTGGTGTCTCCTTCAGATTGTCTATACAGTAGACTCCACCAGCAAAATCCATTCTCTGAGGTTTGGAAAGAGAATACACGAATACCTTTAATTGGTTCTCATCATAGACTGTATATAAAGACTGCAGCTGAGAGTGACACATGATTGGTCAAGCACTTGTATTGATGGGACTATGCTACTGTGGCTCCATCCATCGCTGCTAGGCAGAATCTGAATTCTAAATCTGCAAGATGGCAGCGTTGGTATCTGGGATTTTTTTGGATTAATTTGTAGTGAGAGGAAATGGAGGCACACTGTCAATCTTTAGATACAGTCTATGGTTTTAATGTAGTGTTTAATCAGAGTAAGATTTTCTTGACAAATATATCTCAGAACATGTGACAGTTTATTTTTAAGTTGCTCAGAGCTGCTGAACTCATTGGCAGAATGAGGGTGAATAATATTAGCCAGCCTTCACTGCAGTACTGTCGAACACTGTGAATGTCTTCACTGAGCCTTTTATTTTAATTTACTTCAAATGTCCCAGCTGCACATGTCATTTAACACCTGAGCCTAAGCACTGGTATTTAAAAAGTCAAATGTTCTCAGTGCTGTCTCTCTCTCTGGTGCTTTTTCCACACCGCACCTCTGACATGTCTCAGCTCCACCCAGTGTCCCTTTAACACGATAAATGAAATGTTATCTAAATATTATCCAGACCCCACTCTGTAATTTCACTCTCCAATGTGGACGCCATGCATAGCATTGGAGTTCAGATAACCGTAACTCAGTCAGCGGTGACTTTGCCATTTAGTGACCTTGGTCTTCTGTCAGAAAAAACATAATGTGATGTTTCAGTGTGATTTCCCTGACAGGGGTTACTACGGGTCAGTCTCTACTGTTGCCTTGGTTTTCTTTTCTTTTGCTCCTAATTCTTGAGTTAGCACTTGTGTTACCTGTGAAGTAATGTGGCTCTATGGTGGCTCTAGCCTGTGGAAAAGTAAACCAGTTATTAAAAGGGTGGCAATTTGCAGGTTTCTGGCATTTCAAATTAAATATACACTGATATGTTTTATGTCTGATCCATAATCTGTAAACACTGACGAGATCTTGAGGAAACTTGGTACATTCCATCACTGTCTTCTGGCTTTGAAAACTGGAACTAATTGGCTTCATCTGACAAGCAAAGAAAAATATTAAACATTATTGCAATTTGCCATTTCTAAAGCTGCGTGCTCAAATTAGATACAACTGTTCAAATTGACAAAAGAATCTTCTCTTTTCTTTTACTGTAAATCATTGAAATATTTTGGTGACATCTTAGTTTGGGGGCATCAACTCAAATTCATCCAATCAAATGTGGCTTATTGTTGCCTTGAGGAAGCTCAAAACCTCCCAACCTGCCAACTAACTTATCTGTCATACTTTACCAATTTAAGGCTTATTTCGTTAGCTGCTCTCTCTGAACTCGCTCTTTGGTTTCCTCCCTCACCTCTTTAACTCTGCTCCAGCTGCTGGTCTCATGACACACACTCCAGTCAATTTTCTAACTTTACGTCGTCAGCGGTTTCACCTCCTCTACCTTCCCCTCACTGCACAGACTTAATTGAAATTCAGTGTATTCTGATTCTTTCCCTAATGCTGGCTGGTATTGGGTGCTGAGTGGTGTATTTCCTGATTTATAGGTTTTCTTAAGCTTCGCTGTAAGGCTGTTGGGTTGACCTTTGCGTGGACGGTTTTGTTTTTGTCTCTTCCAATAGTCAGACACGTGCGGAAAGCTTATTCAACATGTTCAAACTGTACCTCGCAGGATAGAGCTCAGAGGCCTCTTCGTTTGTGTGTGTGTGCTGCTGATGCTTCCTGGCTGAACTGTGGTTACCTTTGGGGAAAATGAATGACCAGGAAAGCAAATATGGTGAGAGATTCGTTTTCTTCCCTTCTCTTACTCCCTTTTGCTCCCCCTTCCCTTGGCCCCCTTCTTCTAAATTAACTCCATTCTCAATGACCATAATTCTGAAGTAGCTTTTCCTGAATACATTGTGTCTTTTGCTGGCATACTTGAACAGATATCAACTCTGACATACATGCAGTGCTGCCGACACTACGCACCGAGTTTTGTAATGGCTGTACTGAAAACTTGTTCCACCAGCTTTGGAACTTAAGGATTAGTCCTGTGTGAACGTGTGTGTGCTACTTGTTTCTCAGTGGAGCCGGACCTACCTCTAAGTTTGACCTCAGTATATTGCTGTTACAAGATGTATTCCAAGCTCTAGCAGCATGGATATGTCAATGTTATACTTGCATGGTGTAAATATGATTGACAGAGGTGATAGTTCTTCCACTGCGAGGTTACAGCCAGCTGCCATGTTCTAGTGGGAAGTGTTGCTACGGAGCTGCTTCTCACCACGAACGTGACAATGTCTATTGGCTACATAACACGTTTTCACTGTGACAGAGCATGGTCCTCATGCTTCAGACTACAAGACAGAAAACAGCACTTTCTAGACTTCAATCGTCAGAGGGTCAACATTGTTAGATAGAATGTTTTTGACATTTCACAGTTTCGGGTCAGTTCAAATTTGATACACTGGTGTGCAAGTAATTCTTCAAAATTCAACATGTGGCTGTTTGAGTGTGTGTTAAGATATAAAATGATAATAAAGTATTATTTTCTTATAGAAAGGTTGTGTATCCCCTTAAGTTCAGAAAATGAATAGTTCTGCTTTATTTTTGGGCAGTTTATGGACCTGGGTCTTGCTCTCTCTGTATTTCTGTCCTTCTGTGAGTGATTGCGCTGAAATGCTTGCTGTATGTGTGTGTGTGTGTGTGTGTGTGTGCGCGCACGCATGTAATCTAGAGCTGACACTGCAACACTGTTCTCGTGTGTTCTGTCAACCTTGAGTAACCTCTGCTTAGTGCGGTGGTTCTCGCACTGGGAGGCGGGCCCTCCTGGGGAGAGGGGCATAGAGACACTAAATGTGGGGGGGCACAGATGACCATTCAGCAAAGTTTAGTGAATGAATCATTTATGCAGAGAAAATAAACGAATGAGAGTTTGCCAATGTTATTATGCTGACCCTAATTTAACTAAATTATTTGTTGCTCGCTTTTATTAGATAACAATTTTGTGTATTTTGTGTGTGTGTGAGAGAGTGTGAGAGTGAGTAAATATGGAAGTCAGTGATTGAGTGAGTGTGAGTGAGGGTAACTTTTTTGGCTTTTGGCAGATCATGCCTGAAAAAGTTTGAGAAACAGAATAAATATGACATTATACAGAAGATCAGCTGCTACTGCATATGCTCAGTTGAGTAGTTTCTTTTTTTAAACACATTGCTGATACACAGAAATACTAAACACTGTAGCTTCCTATCCTTGTCAAGTTAAAGATATAATATGTAACACTTCTTCATTAAAATGTCTAAAGATAACTAAACCTATGTTATGTATTTTGTTGACTTGTGTACTTACAGTTAATGGGACATTTCATTTGCCTGTCTCTGCAATAACTTCCAGGGCAAACGATGTATGACGAAGGAAAAACACTGCTAGTCAGTTAGCCAGCCGGCTATATTTTCCTTCCACTGTTTGTTTTAGTCACTCGTAATGGATCATGATTATTCATTGCAGTTTGCTGCGTAATGTAGATAAAACTTTAATGCATTACCCTTCTGTGGAAATAATTTGTGCCTGAGTTTAAATGGTGGTGAAGACAACTCCCATGATCCCATGCTTTTTCACAGCGTCATCAAACTAGGTCTTTTGTTATTGTTTTGAGAGATTGAAGTATCACTTTAAAAACTGAAGGTGTGTTCATGTATTTTGTGATTCCACAGCCATGCGCTTAAATTTGTCCCGATAATCCTCTTATGTTAAAGATTGTTTGTGTGACCTTTGACCTCTTCCTTCCAGATGACTCAGGAGACGAGGAGCCCACATCCCAATCAGACCGCAGCGAGATTCAGGGAACACTGAAGATACTCGTCAGCAAGCTCGATGACCTCAGCACGTGTAATGACCTGATCGCCAAGCATGGCGCAGCCCTGCAGCGTTCACTGAGTGAACTCGAGGGGCTGAAGGTCCCGGTGGAAGGAGGGGAGAAGATCAAGGCAGTCAACGAGCGAGCCACACTCTTCCGAATCACCTCCAATGCTATGATCAATGTAAGTAGCTGGTATAGACCAGGGTTTAAGATGCAGCAGCAGTGAGCAGAGAGTAATATGTATTCTGTGTGATGTTCCATGATTAATGTGACAGGAATGTCAGACATCTATATTGTCCTGGTTAGGGAGTGATGAGAGATGAGAACACTTCACATTGTAGTATGTTAAAGCAGAGTCACCGAGCTGCAGGCTACAGGTTTAAAGAAGCAGTTTTAAACCCACCAGATCCTGTTAAACATTACTGTCTATAATGTATTGTTAAAAATCTGCAGGGGTGATGGTGGTTCCCGGTGTTTGCATCTAATTTTTGTTAAGCATTAGAGCCTGACAAATGTTTCTGCTGGTATATTGGTATAGAACATTTTTTTGCTCCCTTATATCAGATTAGCATAAATCCATATCAGTCAGGCTCTTTTAAGAATACTACCATCTCTGTCAGAATGAGTCAAGTACGACATGAAGACTCCTCACCCCCCAAACAAAAATACTGCTGTTTAGTCAATTAACTTTGTTATCAACATTTAACAAACACAACAACCATCACAACCAGGTTTGAAGTTTCCACCACATCAAATGCTTCAGCTCTGAGTACAAGCATCATAATATGAAATCATCTATTGTATCTTGCCCCCGTACTCCTCAATGGTAAATACCATGGGCTTTGCAGTATGTCAGTATAGTGGATGAGAGTTCACGGAGGGTTGAGGTCCTGCGGGAGTGATACGAGATATGATAGTGGGTGGGGGGGTACAGGAATAGCCCCTGCTCCCCCCACCTCCTCTTAAACCCTTGCCCCTTCATGCTTGGTGAGGAATGTCAGAGCCTTCCAACAAGTCAAACAGAGACACAGACACACAGACCTGCTCTGACTAAAACCAGACAAGGTTTGTTTCCCTTCTCACTTTTGTCAATGACTTTAAACAGTTGATAGCTTTGTGTATTCTCGAGTCAGAAAGTGCATGTGATTGTTTTTTCTGTTGCTTCTCTGGTTGATAGGTGTAGAGCAGCACTGACCATGTTTAGCCACTACAAAGGCATGTTCTTTGCTCTATGATATAAATTACATTTTTATCGGCTATTACTTGTAAGCTGCAGAGAGAAGGTGTTGAAGGAAGAAAGAGGTCATAATGGAAACTGCATGCTCTCAGCCTCTTGTTCATTTAGAGGTAATTCGCAAGGACCCAAGCCCTTGCTGGTTTGTACGCATGCACATTTATTTAATGAGATCATTCTGCATACTTTTACAGCACAGTTAATTTGATGCTGACACCTTTTACTTACACGTGAACTCCTGAACGCCAACCAACCTTTTTTTTCTCCCCCCCCGACCGGACATCACATGCAGTCTGTGTTTGTGCTGGAGAGTCAGCACAAAAAAAGTGGAAGTGTGTTGAGTTTCATATCATGATTATGTCTGAGGAAGTTGACGGCAATATCACGTGCACAGTGAACATTTAAACTAATGCTCAGACAGTTGTGTTAAGAAACCTCATTAAAGACTGCTGAAGGTAAGGGATTGATTGGAGACGCATCTCAAACATTTTGAGTGTTAGAGATTTCTTTCTCATGTCTTAAACAAAATCCAGTTTAAATCAAGGATTTTCAGCTCCAAAAAGTGATTTTATTTATGCTAACTTCCAACTTGATTTACCTTAAAATCATTTTTGTGATTAAAATGCTTTGCTCTACTAAGTATCTTCAGTTAAATTGAGTATTTTTTTATTTTGTTTTCTTATATTTGCTAAACTAGAACAGTGATGGCCTTAAAATCTTTACGATACGCATGATATTAAAATTGTGTAAGAGACGAACGATGTTGTCTTTGCTATAATTTAAGTAAATTTATCAAGGTTTCATATATTAACTACTACTATAAATAAAGTAAAATAATAAATTGTAGCTATCATGAAACAGTACAATGAATTAGACATTTTTAGAATTTAAGCATTCATTTAATTGCTTAATAAGATTAAATATTTAAAACACATATTATTTATCATAGTGTATGTTTGGAAATTACTTTCAAAGTTCATCAAATGAATATCACTTCTGATACCAGAGTATCATTTAGTGTGTGTGTGTGCATATGTGTGTGAGGACTGTCTTCAGCAGACAGACTTTTCTGTGTTAGCTACAATTAGCTTGAAGCAACGCTGAACAGCCCCTCTGGCTCTGGGACCAAAACGATAATTGCAGCAGAAACTGAGTGGACACTATGTAATCATGTGCTGTTCCCACTTGTGAGAAAGAACCATAACTAACCCTCACATTTCTGTTCCAAAAATACTTGATTGTAATGATTATTTAAAAAACCCTACCCTGGAGGTCCACTTGCTGACAGTTTAGTGGCTTTATCATGATACTTTAGTCATGCATGTAGTCATTTACGTTATTTAGGTTCATTGACCTTAAGGCTGACACTCGATACACCCACCTATATGTTTGATTTGAAGTAACCTCGTTGTCTCAGCAGTTAAACCAAAGCAGCAACAATGATGCCCCCTCTTGGCTCCAATATACCCTCTTATGTAATCAGCTCAATGCTCACTGATGTTTCCTGTGTTTTCACTTTGCTCTGAGGAAACTTGTCACTGCAGGGAAACCCAGTCAATACAATGATGATTGTGGTGAAAGATAGCCTTGATTACAATGATTGACAGAGATATATTTACACTCTATTTGTCTGCTGTCTGGAAGAGTTTCATCTTAATGATATTATTCTGTATAGCATTATTTGTTGATTTAAATATCTATAAAGGTTTTATAATTGTATTTTTATTGCAAATAAGGAATCTTAGAATTAAACATGAACCAAAATAGTATTTCTAAATAATGAGAGAAGTATTTTGCAAAAATCTGAGCTGTTTTTCATAACGAATGGAAAGTAACTTGCAACTTGATGAAAATATTTTTTTTTCCCCCCAGACTGTGAATCTTTTTTATATATAAATATAAATAAATTAACTCTCCGTACCTTAAGAGACAATATTTACTTGTGTGTGATACCTCAGGCATGTCGAGACTTCTTGGACCTAGCGGAGACTCACAGTAGGAGATGGCAACGGGCGCTGCAGTATGAGCGAGAGCAGCGCACTCACCTAGAGGAGACCATTGAGCAGTTGGCCAAGCAGCATAACAGCCTGGAGCGAGCGTGGAGAGAAGCACCCACGCTTGTTTCCAGCAAGCCCAGTGCCCCGACCACCAACAAGGGTGAGAATGTCTGTCTGTGTGTTGCTTACTCCTGCAGGCCTCAGTGTGGGCCTCATTGGCTAAAAGTCATGTGTAGCCTCAGGGTCAATACTGTGTGTATTCCTTGTGTGGAGGAAGACATTTTTTGTTGGAAGGGTTAAATTAGATGTTACTTATGTTAGAGATGGTAATTATCTTCAGAGCTTTAGGTCATGTGGTCTCTGGGTCAGTCTATTCATCCATTTTCTTTTTTCTTACTTCACTAACTTTAGCCAAAATTTCTTGAAAACAAACCTCCAGACTGACATGTACACATCCATCCTCACAGAGTAAAGATTGATGTCCTTTTTTTGTGGTTTCAAATCTCCTGACCCTTCCTGTCACACATACATGTGTAAAATCCGGAGAATTGGCTATGGACTTTACCCGCAGTCTGCCTTTCACACATGCACAACACAACGGGGGGTTCTCTGCACTCTTGACATATTTGCCGGTGTCTTCTACATATGTCACCATTTTTTTTTTACCCAGGGAGATATTTGCTTTGTTTTTTCATGTTTGTCGCGTGTTAGGCGTAAAAAGTCTGCAGAAACTGTGGAGTGTGTCACTCTGACATGTGCGTTCACACATGCAACTCCTCTGGAGAAAATATGAAATTCAGTGCATGTCTAAAAGCAGCTTAATGATTTAAAAATTGGCTTAAAACTGAACTTGTTGATGGAAAGGGATGCAAATTTGTGTTTTCGCCCAAAACATTTCAAAGATGTAGCATTTACTTTTTTTCTCTCTGTTCTGTTTTTATCTGCGGAGAAGAGCTGTCCCATTGTTTGAGGCGAATACAAATCTTTATTACATAAACATATAGTCTTTTAGCATTACAGTAAGTAATCAGACACAATCTTGTCCTGAAAGCAATTTATTTTATATTATTTAGTCTGAAGGTCGTTATTTACCCTCCTTTTGTAAAAGATTCCCTTTCATTAGAAAACATTACAATTACCTTATAACAGATGAATATTGAATGTTGGATAGCGAATATGAGAAGCGTTCCCTGAAGAACCTGCATCATTCAGGCTTGTTAACCAGCAGGCAGATTGCCAATTCTACTAGCTGATTATTCCTTTAATTAATTGCAATGGGTATGTGATTATATGCTGCTCTCTCCTAGACTCTATACATAAGAAAGCCATGTGATGCCAACATGTGATGGTTCTCCTGGTGCTGCATGTTCTCTGTAAGACTGCATGTACTCACTCAAAGCATATGTCCCGAATGAAGGAAGCGAGAGGCGGCTCAAAGAAGAGGCAAGTGATGAAGATGAGGATACTGAGTACTTTGATGCCATGGAGGATTCCCCTGCGTTTATCACAGTGACTGCCACTGACAACACGCAGCACAGGTCAGTCTTCATCTGGTCAATGCTCTTCAGTGTTTTAAACTTACACACAGAAAAATCATATACTGATGTTCACTTCACTTTGAGATTTTGTCAGATGTGTTCACTCTGTTATACAGATAAAGAAGAGCCTGTGCTGTCCTGTAGCAGTGAAAACCAATTCCCTGTTTTAGTTCTTGCTCTCAGATATAGCATATTTCTTTACTGTATTGGAGTCTGTCTCTTGCTGGCAAACTTGTTTCTTATGAGCTTCAGTCTTTAAACAAAGGACCCGTTCATGCCTAAATGGGCTTGGCCTGTGGTGATGCTGTTTGCAGCTTCCTTTCTGAAACTGTAAAAGTGACCTGCAGTAATTGAGCTACAGCAGGTAAAGACAAACTGCAGGACTCAGTCCACAGAACTCTGAAGCTGTTATACCACTGCTCTGTTCACCTGTAATATATTCAAAGTTCAGTGAAGCTCGTTTCAGCAGAATCCAGAAGTGTTTTCTGTCCTGAACGTTGTCCTGAAAGTGCTGTTGTCGGGATTGACAATATCACTTGATTATTCCCAGCAGCTGCTGCTACTCTGCTTTGTTATTCAGAGTTTATTAATATTTAACATGTCACTTGTCCAATTAGCACCAATTTTGACACTGCACCTCCTTTGGTGCTTAACAATACACACGGCAAGTGTCATGCAAGATGAACGGGTCTCGAGATACCGACAGACAGAGATTTCTGGAATCAGTAGATAGATGAAAACAGCTTCTGGTTTCCTGTAGCAAAGAAAACCAATTTCCTACTCTTGTTTCTGCTCTCAATACATTTTTGTAGCATATTTATTTACTGCATCAGAGTCAGTCTTGTTCTGGCAACTCTTCAAATGTTTACTATTTTCTAGTGTTTTTTCCTCCTCTCCATTAGTAAGTCTCCTCTCTTGATACATAACCCTCAGCTCCCTTGTGTGCACTGTGTGTATTGAGTGTGTATGGAAGTGGTAAAGGGAGTAGAGGAAAGTACTGTGTCCCTGTGTCTGTGTGAATGTGTGTGTGACCAGTAGCCACTGAAGAAAATATTTCCACTCTGTTCCAGGCGATCTCAGAGTAATTTGAGCGGAGCGAGCGTAGGTCACCCCAGTGACTGGAACCAGGACGACCATGTAAGCGTCTCTCCTCCTAACAAATCTGACTAATAGGACTGACATTTGTGAACTCTGCTGACTTTTCCAATCTCACATACTCATTCTCCATTGATTTATTCATGCAGCCATCTTCACTTGCAGTTCTCACTCTACATTTATCCACACGCACGCACGCACGCACGCACGCACACACACACACACACACACACACACACACACACACACACACACACAGCCTTTGACTGTGTTTCCTGTTCTCTCATTGTCACCCCTGCGGTGCCAAAGATACACAGCTGCATCCTTCCACTAAATCTTAATTACCAGTCAAGCATCTGCTCTCCTCTTCCCTTGCCTCTCGTTCACTGCTTCTCTCTCTCTCAAACACACGTCTTCTGTTCCCTCCTGTCTTTCACTTGCTCTGTCACTGTGTCTGGTGATGTGCTGCCAAGCTGTCCATGAAGTTGAAAGCATGTCTTCAAACTTTTATACATCAAATATTCTTTTTACACAAAGTTACAATCCCACTTTTCTCATCCCCCCCACCTAATCCCAGATGTCTCCAGGCTGTAACGATGTGTCAGGGAAGGAGCTGCAGCCCCGCAGACGGAGGCGGACTCACATCCCAGACAAACCCAACTACTCCCTCAATTTATGGAGCATTATGAAGAACTGCATTGGCAAGGAGCTGTCTAAAATCCCCATGCCTGTAAGTGTTTGAGGCACAGTGCTCCTCCTTGCTGACAGCTTGACATAAATTGTTTATTACATCTTTACTTCTTTCTCTTCCATTCAGGTGAACTTCAATGAGCCGCTGTCAATGCTGCAGCGACTCACCGAGGACCTGGAGTATCACGAGCTTCTGGATAAGGCGGCGCGCTGCGACTCCTCTCTGGAGCAGATGTGCCTGGTCGCTGCCTTCTCCGTCTCCTCCTACTCCACCACGGTCCATCGGACTGCCAAGCCCTTCAACCCCCTCCTGGGCGAGACCTACGAGCTCGATCGCCTGGAAGAGTTCGGCTACCGGTCGCTGTGTGAGCAGGTAACGGCACGGCCACAGGGAGTTTTTGTTAACACAGGCACTGATGTGCATGCACAAGGTCTGAACATGTTCTCCATGCTTATATGAACACACTCCCTATTTTCTACTTTAACTTTTTGTCTCTCTATCTTCTAAGGTGAGCCATCACCCCCCTGCTGCTGCACACCATGTGATTTCCAAACAAGGCTGGACCCTGTGGCAGGAAATCACCATTGCCAGCAAGTTCCGTGGAAAATACCTCTCCATTATGCCTCTAGGTAAGACATTTCACATTCAGCTGGGAAGCTAACAAACTACATTTGCAAATAAAGGCTACATCATACAAACTGAAAAGCCACAGTCTCTTACCTGAGTGAAGTGGACCACTGATTTAACGTCAGAGAACAGCGTGTGAGAATGAATCAGGAGGGTTTTATGATCTCTTTGACACGCACATAAAATATGGGTATAAAGGGAGCTCTCTGTAGCTGTGGGACAGAAGAGTGGAGTGGACTGTTGGTTACGATAAAAGAGATTTGATAGATACAGGCCCACCAAGGGATACAGTGATATCATTCTGACTTCTCTCATTTTTTGTCACACAGCTTTGATAAAGTTACGTGGAAATACTTAATGGTGGAATACATGTAATCAATAAAGCTGCAGGTAGAAGTGACCACGTTCACAAACAGATTTGGAATCATAAAAACAACCAGTCTAACACATCACTTTCAGGTCTGCAGTTAGAGATTGGAAACAGTGGCAGCTGTGATATTTCATTTCTCTCACAACCTTTTGTTCCTCTTGCTCTCCAGGTGCCATTCACCTGCACTTCCACTCCAGTGGGAACCACTATGTTTGGAGAAAGGTCACCTCCACAGTGCATAACATCATCGTGGGCAAGCTGTGGATTGACCAGGTTTGTTTTCAAGAGACTCGTCATTGATTACTATTCAAGATTTTGTCTCATTGGCTGAGGCATAAAACCTACTGTGATATGACACATACTTATTTGTGTGTGCTTATGCTTCTATGTGACTGAGAAGAATAGAAAGAAGAATTTACTTACATCTCTGAATCTCATCTCAGAAATACACTGTCACACTAGAGAATAACAATTCTGGATTCATACATCAAAACACAGGGAGCTGGTAATTTTGGATAGTTTACAAACCTAGTATTTGTTCCATTATTTGTTGTAGAGCTTGTCTTTGAGAGTATTTAGGGTGATGTAGATGATTAAATTAATCTTGTGTTTTTTTAACATTCGGTATTTCACACTAAAACACAATGTTTGTGACTTTAAGATCTAAAAATAATGTCTTTTCTACCATCCATACAAAATGATCAAAGCTTTTGTTTGACTGGTTTGAAACTACCACCGCCTTAATTTTGCGATTATGTGAGTTTGTGATCTTTTTCTCTTTGTGGCGAGAGATGTTTGTATCAAACAACCCCCCACATGTGACCCTGTACATGTGCTGATAGTAACATGGGGAAAGTATACAGGAACCTGTTTATCAAAACATTGCTATATAGCAGCACAAGTAGCCAAACATATCACATGCTATCTTTTTACAGCAACTGAAAACATGGTATTTAAGATGTTCATACATGATACTATACCAGATCATTTACTGTATACTGTACTTACTAAACTCTTTAAGACAGAGATAGACAGAAGTTCTAAATCAAATTTTTTGTTAAGCTAATAAATCACATTTCATTATTCTGTTTGAATGATTCTGTTCAACATGTTTGTTCAGGATTGTTTTCTTCTCCTTAACACACTAAAATGGTAGAATATGCTCACTCCAATATCATTCAGTGTGTGTGTTCCTCTCTCTGACTCTTGCAACATTTCTGTATTTGTGCAGTCGGGGGACATTGAGATTGTGAATCACAGGACCAAGGAGACCTGCCAACTCAAGTTCTCTCCCTACAGTTATTTCTCTAGGGACATCCCACGCAAGGTAAATGATTTCTGACCTTGGTATGATGTCATACAATGCATGGTTACTTTGTAAAATGCTGCCTCCTGCTGGATGGTACCAATAAATATACTGTTATCTAAATATTGTTTCTTATCATATTGAGTTTATGTGTTATCCAGAAGAACTTCACTGTATGAGGTCACATGTCAGTGCAGTAACACCTTTTGGAGATACGCACCTAAAATTGGGAACATGGTAGTGACTGATTTGAGATAAGCTATTGAAAATGTACCTAGGTCTGACCCAGGGGGACTGTGCATCCAAGGGCTAAGCATTAGGAATAAAGATCATAGTACTACCTATAGACTCACAGAAAGATGACTGGCTTTGAATAAGCCTATGTTCTGATTTCTTTTTGCTGTTTTCAGGTGACAGGTGTAGTGGCAGACAGCGGGGGCCAGGCTCACTACATCCTCTCTGGTACCTGGGATGATAAGATGGAGAGTGCCAAGATCATTCAGAGCAGCAGAGGGGGCAGTGGATCAGAGGGCAAGCAGAAGACCGTCTATCAGACTTTGTCCCCCAAACTGCTGTGGAAGAAATACCCTCTCCCGTAAGCGCTTACCTCATCAGCTTCATAAGGGAAAACAGTGTGAACAATATGAGTCATTGTGGTTGTACAGCTGCAATGTTTTGTCAATATTATTGATCGTGGAACATCACACACTAACTCACACTAATACTTCTTCCGATCTCAGGGAGAACGCAGAGAACATGTACTACTTCTCTGCTCTGGCATTGACCCTGAATGAGCTGGAGGAAGGAGTGGGACTAACTGATAGCCGCCTGAGACCCGACCAGAGGCTGATGGAGGAAGGACGATGGGATGAAGCAAACTCAGAAAAACAGAGGCTAGAGGAGAAGCAAAGAGCTGTGAGGAGGAGGAGGGAAGCTGAGGCCTCAGATGCACTGGATGATGGTATAGAATTTAAAACACATGGTGTGATGTCTGATAAGCAAAGAGATGCTGAGTAAAAAAGACAGAGAGGAGCAAAGGGCACAGAGTCATGAAGTGTGAGGACTTATTGATGGCAAAATTCCTGTTGTAAAATTCCTGTTCAGTTTATTCTAAGGCATTTTAATTAATGTTTATATCAGAACAAAAAACAGATATAGATATAAGCATTAAATACCTGGTTTGTGGTTTGAAAAGCCAAAGAGAAAAGGAAAAGTATAAAGTCATAATATTCTGAGAAAAGTCATAATTTTTACGACATTATTACTTAACAAGATGCTCCATATTCCTCAGACAACAGACTGATCTTTTGATATGCCCCCTGTAAAATGACACGTAGCCTAAAATAATGACTCTATTCTCATAATTTTTCCCATAAATTACGACTTTGTTGTTAAAATTCGACTTAATTGTCTAAAATTGAGAGTTTTTCCCCCAAATCATAGAAGATTTTTTCTTCAACATGGTTCAACAATGCTCCGTCGAAAGAATTTCAGGAAGCACTTCTTATTCCTATTAGTACAACAGTTAGTGCATCTGAACTGAACTACAGAGAGCTCAGCAGAAACATTTCATCTTAGTGGCTTTCGTGTGTGTGTGTGTGTGTGTGTGTGTGTGTGTGTGTGTGTGTGTGTGTGTG